ATTTTTTACACAGGACTGAGTTACAGGAAAAGCTTACATTGCGTAACACTCAGGGGGAAAACAATCTTTTCCCACACCAGCGTTTGGTCTGCCACTTCCTAGCGAGGAGGCGGCTGAGTTTCAGTTTTCCAGATCAGAAAAGTGTAGAAGGATAGATATAATACTCATTACGTCCTGATTGCCATATCAGAAAAAGCACCATGGAAGTGCGTTGAGGCCAGTGGTTTATGTGGGACTATTTTCAATCACATCCACTTACCCTTATCTCCGTTGCCATAAAGTATGAAGACGATCTTATGTTCTATTGCATCTGCTTCACCGCATCTAACCATTCTGGACCTTCAGATGCATTATAAATATACTTGGATGTTAAATATTTCTGTGTATTAGCACGTCAATTGATATGTAGTATACATATCATCTACACACACTTAGGTAAATAATATATACCCAATTAAAATATTATACCCAATCAGCTTCACATAACTACACACATACACGTATGCATGCATATGTCGACATGCACCATATGGCTATGCGTTATACATTTCTAGAAAAATACAAGCCAATAGCGGGTGAATAAGCAGTATCCTGTAGAAACCGATGCGTGTTACTAAGCCTAATTAATAGACACCATGCAATGACTATGTCTATAATCTGGCATGGTTATAAATAAAAGATTATTTGACTGATTGGAAGTTTTCAGCTTTGTTGTTCTGTGGTTGGGCTGTAATTCTTTCAAGGGAAGAGGGAGCCTGTCATTACAGGATGCTATAAATTAAAATATACAGTTTTCAGTCCGCCTGAGACAATGCAAGATCCCAGCTCTAGAGAATTGTTTAACTATAAGGCTCAACCTTTTAGTCCTACATGTTTAAACCGCGTAAATGTATTCTGTTCTCTACCTTATTGAACTCGTTTTCTAATACGTCATTCGAAAAAGCAAGATGCCTACACGAGATTCTCATGAATTACCAAAATCCCATTCGCAGGGAAATTTTCCCTTCCATCCCCATTGCCAATGTCTGGGATGTCTTCCGCTCCTTAATGAGCCCGACTTTGTACTGTATATTTGCTGAGTTATCAAAAAGTATTTAAAAGCGGGTTTCAGCATTTTCTTAACGAGGAAGGTGAGGATTTATTACCTCCCTCCAACTTCAGGACTTTGGCTGCTGTGGCCATGCCACCGATAGTCTGTTTAACATACTTCAACGTAAGCTGCCTCTGCATTTGGGGGGCTCTGGTTTGTGTATGTAAGTGTGAGAGGAGTATAGAGACATGCAGTTGGGAGTGAAAAAACGCCATTTGGTTAGGAGCAGATGGCTGGCTAGGGGGTTGATCGCGTCTAAAGGCGTGTCATCCCCCTTCAGCTCGAATCCCTAAGGGCTCCCCTTGTCTTTAAAATCAATGAAAATTAAAGTGCAGAGAAAGGATGAATAGTTAGACCTCGAGTCCCTCCTTTGTTCGTCCCAGCTACTGGTGGGCAGGAGTTAAACTACAACAGCCTCCTATAGAAACACTTAAGTTAAACAGTCTCCCCGTTAGCCCAGCATCTGAAAGAGAGAGGGAGAGGGGGGAAAAGAAGCAAAAAAGGAGCTTTCTGCTTGATTTCCCCAACACAGAATCGCGTGGCATAAATTAAGTTGGAAAAGAATAAGTGCATTGGGCAGGATTCTGATGGATTTTACGACGCCTTTCAGTTACGCTTTGCAGCAGTAATCGAGAAATCTGTGCCACGTCAATTTAACAAATACTTGATACTGAAGGGTGATGTTATAGATTTGGGGCAAGTTTTGTGTGTGTGTAGGTTTAAGCCCTTGCGCGTGTAACTTTTTATTTACAGTTTTTTAAACAGCGATGCAAATGAAAGAACTTTCTATCTCTCCCAGATTAAAAGATTTGTGGTGATATATCACTTCTAACCTCAGTCTACAGACGACCTCAACTTTAAACATATTTCCCCCTCTCACGTGCCCAGAAAACCTATATGAACCAGATTTGCTTTCCTAAGGAAAAGAGGCTGCAGCAAAGTTTCAGAAGCAGTGGCAAGCCATTAAAAAAGATGTTGACGCTAGGTGGCAAGAGTAATTTACAAGTTAAATCTAGCGCTGCTCTTCAATATCTTCTGTTAACATATCCACATGTTCCTTACTTACAGGAGGTGAAAGTGTAGGTGGATTTTTACTCTTTAGGCATGAACATGCTTAATGGGTCCGATCCGGCCGTCTTTACTCAGGCAAAATTCCCATTGGTATTAATAGGAGACTGCAGGATGAGATCCTACGTTTAAAAATGGTTATCCCAGAAGTACCTGTAGTTTAAAAGCAAACATTCCTGTGCACATAAGATTTTATTATCGGGGAGGGAGGGAATATTTGGGTATAAATTATACTTTTGACCAAACTTATATTTAAACAAAGGAGATTTAAAAGGTGAAAGGTTGCGAATATTTTGATACTTGTTTAAATGACACAGATACTTGGAAAGTTTTGGTGCCAGCAGAGGAAAAAAGGCTATGCTGCACTGGGAAGTATACAGTTACAGTCGTGTAATAGCCAGGATGTGCTAGGCTGAATGCATTCATTAGTGATTTTCTTTTAATTGGTATTAACCAGTGATTTTACTTTAAGAAGTGTTTGAGATTTTTTTCCAGTGCATTGTAAGATAATTTGTGATCAAGACATCTGCTTCAATGAAAGTCACATTTTGCCATGCAAATGCACGTTTCAACCCAATAAAGTAGCCATAATAAGGCTTTTAGCACGGCATACCTACAGTGAGGTTATTGTAGCCAAATCCTCTCCTTTGCACACAAGCTTAATCTGTGCTGAAATGCTGTGTTACAATTAAAATGACATTTACACAGACAGTTACACCTTGCATCCTAATGAATCCGCCTGCGCCTATCTAGGTGCTTGAAAAGGGCCCAAAACAAAGTGAAAACCCATCTCCAAGTTATATCCCAAAGTCGCCTGCAAACTTTTTATCTTCCACTTTCAGCCATAATTAAGAAATCTCGCTGTGAGAGGCCCTCCCCCCACCAGTAAACTCCTGGCCTTGTTTTTAAAATCGGAACAAAAGTTCTAGTGTCCGATGGATGTGTAAAAAAATAAGAAGTTGGCTGTTGGTGTAAAGTTGTTGGTTTTTTAATGGGGGGGGGGGTGTTGCTGGACGGGATTTCTTTAAAAAAAATGTGCGGACATTGTTGTAGAGGCAGTAGCGTGCGCCGAGGGGAGCTCTTTCTCTCCCTTGCATTGTGCAGGGAGCAGGTGCTGTCTACATTACCATACAGCTGAGAGCACAAAGAGCCAACTGATTCAGCCCTCACACAATAACAAACTGCCTTAATGACAGCCACGCGAACGACACACACCAAACTCACTTTTTACTAAGCTGAAGGAGGGGAAAAAAGGGAGAGAGGTTGATGAGGAGGCTGATAATAATAATATAGGGATATGGGACTCAAATGGGCTTTGCTAACTGCTTCCTTCAGCACTTCGCAAACCATTCTCAGCGAGGAGATATATGTATATATATATTTAAAAGCCCAAATGTTTGCCCACCCCCCCTGAAACTTAACACATGGCTCTTCCCAGTTTTTCTTCGCTACGAAAATATCTATAGTGTATCCAGAATAATGATCAGTCCGTAAGCATCCTGCCCCTTCCAGCTTGCAAACTTTGAAACACCAGATTCTCTGCCCCAGCCCCGGCTACTCCCCAAATGTAGCCTGGTTTTAAGAAACCGGAAGGAGAACACCAAAGCCCTTCTCTGGTCCCACAAATATATTCGTGACCTTTTTTTTTTTAAATGATCCAGATTATACCATGGGGAAGATGGTGTGAATTTAAAGGGATCAGATTTCTCCTGTGTGTCAAGCTGACCCCCGCCCTCCCCCTTTAAGCTAAAGGATATATCTGGAAATGTACATTATCACCAACAACTTACTTTTTGGGGGCACAGTGGTGCTTTACACATTTCAAGAGGTAATTATAGATCTCAATGCTTGGAGCTCGTTTTCTTGCTGGGGTGTGTTGCTCTCTCTCTTTCTGTGCATGTTGCGAGAGGGTGTTACCATCTCCCCAGAGCAGAAGGGGGATTCTTGCGGTTACCAAATTTGCAGGAATGTAAATGAGCGCGTTTGGTGAGAGCAGGAGGGGAAAGGGGTAAAGGAGGAGGAGGAGGATTGCACATTTTACAGCTCACTGACCATTTGGCGATCCATTGAGAGGACGGTTTGGAAAAGTGGCTCCTTTGTGACAGCTCTAGCCAGATTGGGGGGCTGCTCATTTGCATCTCATTAGCCATGCAGGCGGCCGGCGGGATATAAGGGAGGCAGGCGCCTGATGAGAGGCAGATCCATAGTGCTTTACATTCGGAGAGAGGCACAGCAAAGATCACACACACGCAAGGAGAGACCCAGGAGCACACACGGGCGCGCTCAGTTCGCTTCCATTAAGACATTATCTGATTACTATTATTATTGTTGGTTTTGGCTTGGATCCCTTAAAAAAAGACCACAAGAAATAACGAGACCGATCTTTGCATCTTGCGAAAAGGGGATAAGCGTCCAACGTGATCTGCAAATTGCTGCTGCTGTTTGACACTTCCCAGTCCCTGATCTGCGAGGGGCCAGCTCCACACACGCAGATAACACACAAACCCCCTCTCTCGCTCTGCTCATTTGAAGGCAACGGGAATTATCGCTTCCTCCTCCTAGTCTACAGGGATTTCCAGATCGCTGATTTTTAATCTTCCACGGGAAGCCTTTTCTCTGCCTCCTTTGGGAATTAAGTGGCTTTTTTTCTTTTTCTTTCCGTTTTGGCTGGTGGGGGAAGAAGCTTTAGGCGAAAGGAGAAAAATCGTGGCTTGGAAGAGAAAGAGAGGAAAAAGTTGTTTAGAATATCAGTCTTAAAAACAGTCTGTCCCCTTTTTTTGCCACCCAGAAGAGCTGTCAGTCCCCCGAAAGGCGTCCCTAAAAGCATCACCAGAAGAGAGAGAGAGAGAGAGAGAGAGAGAGAGACTCTTGAAAGAGGTAAATTTTAACACTAACTCCACTGGGACAAGAGGCTTCTCCTGCCCAGGCTTCTTGAGAGACACTTTTTTTTTTGCCTGTTAAAGAAAAAAAGGAAAAGAAAAGGGTCAAGAAGAAAAACCCTACTCTCCAAAATGGGAGGTCAGTCCATGCTGACTCTTGCCATCCTCTCTGTGCTGCTTTGCCAGTGCCAGGTAAGTGGATCTGGGGTCTGTATTCCGGGCGCTGTTCAGTGCAACTGCTAATAACAACTGCCAAGCTAACCAGTGGGGTGGGGGCCCTCTGTTGCAAAGGGAAACGCTGGGAGGGATGCTGCAAAGACTGGCAAACTGTTGAGCCTCCTCTCCGGCGGAGGCTTGTCCCCTAGCCCCAGGGGGAGCTGGCCCTGGCTCGGGGCGCGTGTCTCCTAAGGGAGCGGAGTCGGAGCGTGTGGGGTCTGCGGGCTTGCCCCAGCAGGGCAGCTGCTGCACCCGCTTTGATGCCCCCCCCCCCGGTTGGCGGGCGCCTTTTGAATGGCTCCTCTTGTCCCCCGCAGGTGCGGTGCTCCGGGGTGTTCGAGCTGAAGCTGCAGGAGTTTGTCAATAAGAAGGGGCTGCTGGGGAATCGCAACTGCTGCCGCGCGGGGAGCGGCGGCCCCGGCGCCGGGTTGCAGCAGTGCGACTGCAAGACCTTCTTCCGCGTGTGCCTCAAGCACTATCAGGCCAGCGTGTCCCCCGAGCCGCCCTGCACCTACGGCAGCGCCATCACTCCGGTGCTGGGAGCCAACTCCTTCAGCGTGCCCGACAGCGCCGGCGGCGCCGAGCCCGCCTTCAGCAACCCCATCCGCTTCCCCTTCGGCTTCACCTGGCCCGTAAGTTCCACCCCGGGCGGCTCCCGCGCCGGCCCCGCCACGGACCAGGGGCTGCGCGAGCGCCAGGGACCAGGGGAGCGCGGAGCAGCGCGCGGGGGGCGGCTAAGGGTCTGTGGCCAAAGGACGGGCTGGGCTGGGTGCGTCACAGCAGCACAGGGGGGGCTCAGGGGCGGGGTGCCCTGAGCGCAAGGAGCGGGCTGGGGGGTGGGGGTGATGGCAGGATGTACTGACTGCCTCTGGACAGCCGTTCGGAGGGAGACTCATGCCGCAGCGAGCTTGTGTCTCGCTATGGAACCGGCGAGCCGGTTAGATGAATGGACGGCGGTGGGAGCCGTAGGGTGGGTTTGATTTTCTGCGGTTCCCTCGCTCCCATCCCTGGCCAACACAAGTATGGTCCCACCAGTGTGGGGAAGTCCTGATTCTCCCCCCTTCCCGCCCCCCTTGCCCACTTCTGTGCCCGGAGCAGGCTGTAGAAATTGTCAGCCCTGCGTGAAATTCCCAAAGGACCTTCCAGTCATCCTCCCAATGTGTGAAACTGGGGAAATTAAGTGCGAAGATTAATGGCAACTGCCCTCACATCCTACCCACTGCCTCCCCGACCCTCCCTTTTTTACACCATATCCTGTACTAGCAGGCTGAAAAAACAGGCCAGGAAACAACTCTTCAAAAAGCTCTTCCAATCCCTTGAGAAAAGTGAAAACAGGCTGGAGTGAGGGATTAGAGGGTTGCACTGACTGGGCACATATATTTCTGGGGCTGCTGCTGCTGCCTGTGATCAATTTTTTTTGCTGACTTTAGATTTTCATTCTCATTTTGTGCGCATTTTTTTTATTTTAATTTTCCAGGGCACTTTCTCTCTCATCATTGAAGCTCTTCATACAGATTCTCCCGATGACCTCAACACAGGTAAATACCCTGGTGCAAATCCTTTCCCAGGATTAAATCCAAACCTGCTACTTCTCAGGCTCACTTTCCTTACTTTCTCAATTAATGTAGCCACTCCCTGCCCTTTCTCACTCTACTGTTCTTCATAAGAATGTTATAAGAAAGAGAGCCATGTCACCACATGGCTTTAACATTTCTGCACTTACAATTCTCTCCTCCTGTAAACTCCTCTAGGTAATCTATTGCAGTTATTCCCATTGCACCCTCATGACTCACAGTTAGTTAATTGCATTTCTTCCTTCCCTCTCCTTGCAGAGAACCCAGAGCGCCTTATCAGTCGTCTGGCCACACAGAGGCATTTGACAGTGGGGGAGGAGTGGTCCCAGGACCTGCACAGCAGTAGCCGCACTGACCTCAAGTACTCCTACCGCTTTGTGTGTGATGAACACTACTATGGAGAGGGCTGCTCTGTCTTCTGCCGGCCCAGGGATGATGCCTTTGGCCACTTCACTTGCGGAGAGCGTGGAGAGAAGGTCTGCAACCCAGGCTGGAAGGGACAGTACTGCACCGAACGTGAGTGTCCACAAAGAAAGACTATTGAATTTCTCCTGGCTACAGTCACATGCATTATGATGCCCACTGAAGTCAATGGAAGACATTCCATTGATTTCACTGTGCATTGGTTCAGGTCCCAGATGAGAATAAAAACCAAGGTAGAAGGAATATATGATGGTATGGTGCTGTTATGTAAAGGTTTTATTGGCATGAGCCATGGGATGACCTCATTACTCAGAAGTTCCAAAACCATAAGTGAGTTATCTGAAATGATCCAATCTTACACCAATGACATCTTGATGCCATATTACACCATCACATATTTTGTTTATACCAAACATTGTATAGAAAAGTTATTCTAGAAATGTTTTAGGAAGTTTAAAAGAAAACATATGTGGGCTATTTATGGTATCCTTCTACCAGGAAGCCAGGGTATCTTCAAGCCATGAGTCAAGAGGTACAGGCCTTAGAAAGAGGAATTATAACTAATAGAACTTCTACAACACTGAAGTAGCTTATCCATCAATCATAAAGTCAAGACTGTATGGTTTGATATCTTGCAACCTTGTAACCTAACAGGGCTCAAAACAAGTGCTGTCACCCATTGGAAAGGAGGAGTCCAAGATACTCTCTAGTGGTATAAAGAACATATTTCTAATCCTGTCAGATCATCACATACTGGATCATAAGCCTGAGGGCTGGTTGAGGGCTGAACATTGCCCTCCCTGTACCCCAGATCAGTGTAATTTGGGAGGAGAAAAAAACACATTTATGGGAAACAAGGAAACATTACGGAGGCAGGTTGTGTTTTTGTTTTGTGTTGCATGAAGGACTGTAAGCTTTAAATGAGGGCTAAGCTTGACCCTGCTGGCAGGTTTGGAATGTTAGAAGTAGCCCTGGCAGAGATGGAGCAGATTGCAGCTGAGGTGGTCAAAGAAGTCAGATAAATTAAAGATAAATTTAGTGCACATTCCCACTCTACTACACTCTAGTATATACTAATATTCTAATTTGTGTGTATGTCTATAATAATATATTGGCAGATAACTCACCATCTGAATACCCCCCTCCAAACCTCACAAATCAGGATGAGTAACAGGAAGAAAACAATTTGGATGTTGTAGGGTGCAAGACAGCCTGTTTGCCTTGTTAAAAAAAATGAGCTAAATTGTGAATTCAGATGGACTGATATTAAACAGCATCAGTTTATTCTTATTGTTAGAGACTAGTAAGGTGATTACAGCCCTATGTGGCACAATTTTGCATAGTAAACTGGGGGCTTGAATTTCCCCTGGTAAGGCTTTAAATGGTTGTAGTGCCCCTGGATTAAAGGCTTCTATTGCAAAAGGGTTAGGAGGCGGAGGGAGAGGAAACATTTCTTTGATGAACTGTTTAGGGGTGTCAGCACCTTTTGATATTTGTATATTGCTGCTTCTTCAGTAACCAAGCAGATTATTTCCCCTCTTTTCTGAATCATTGTGTGTGCATGCTGTACAGTTTACTCAGTGTCTTATGAAAAATCAGCTAAAATATATGAAATAACATATTTATTAGGCAGTGGTGTGTGTGTTTCTGCAAAAAGAATGTTTTCTGGTTAGCAAGTGAGGTTTCCAAGCTCCAGATTGCTTCCCTTATACCCCTTTTCATCTCCTTTCATTCCAGTTTTGAGACAATCTGATTATCAGCACTGCCTCTCTTTCTTTCTTTCTTTCTTTCTTTCTTTCTTTCTTTCTTTCTTTCT